GCCTACATAGGCATAGGAAGATATATCAATGAAAATAAACACATGAAAAGGCATAGGAAGATATATCAATGAAAATAAACACACGAAAAGTTGCTTAATATCTTTAGTCATTTAGGAAATTCAATTAGAAGCACAATGAGATACTACTACAAACCTACTAGAGCTGTTAAATAAATAAATAAACAAATAAATAAATAAATGGAACAAGCCTTTCTACCCTTCCCCTTCAGTTACTACAGAAGGGAATATTTGTTTATATGCATTGCTGCCCATCAATATGTACAATTATTTGTGCTGATCAAAAATTTGAAAATTTGAAGTGGAAATGTTAACTACTCTGATTTGATCATTATACTCTAAACATGTAGAATTCTCATATTTATTCCATAAATTTATACAATTAAAATAACAAAGAATTATGCTAATGAGCATACAGGGCAATTAGAAACTCATACATTTACTGTGGGAATACAAAATGGTAGCCACTTGGGAAAATTTTTTGGTAATTTCTTAAACAGTTTTAAATACATTTACCTTATGGCCCAGCATCCCAGTCCTGGGTTTCTTCCAAAATAAATGAAATTTTCTGTTCGTACATAGATCCCAGAAGGTCAACCCTTATAGTAACTTTATTCGTCATTTCCAACACCAGTTTTATTTTAGTTGGTAAATGGATGAATAAACTACTGTACATCTAACCAGTGTAAACTAAGTAACAATGAAAAATGAATGATTGATTTAGACAACAACATGGATAAACCTTAAGTACATTTTGGTAAGGAAAAAAACTTCTAAAGATTACACATTGTGTCATTTGTTTTACTTGTCACTCTTCAAAAGGCAAAACTACAAGGTGAAAACCAGAGCATTACCTCCTGGGGGTGGAAGGGGCAGGAAGAAAGCCTGCTCTAAAGGGAAACAGAAAAGTTCAAGGTGGTGCAACTCTTCTGTGTCAAACGTGCTGGTGGATATACCACTCTGCAGCTGCCCAAATCCTCAAAACCGGTACCACCAAATGAATTTTGCTATACATTAATTTAACAAAAAATACAGGAGAAGCTGGAATGCAGACCCTGATAAATGAATCCGATGAACAAATGAATCACTTAACTGCATAAAAGGTAAAAGGTAAAGAGAGAGAGAGAGAAGACACAATGAACTATATGCTAATACTGTATCCTAGTTACCAAATTCATTTCTCATAAAGTACAGGTTAGAAATTCTGAACTACTTTAAATGAATATGAGGTTTGAACTAAAAATACATTATAAATAGAGTAAGACCCAGATTTTTTCACCATCATTTAAAAATAAATAAATAAGGATATAAAGTGGCCAGAATGGAGCTCACTGGAGTCAAAGTATCAACATAGACATATATTAATACAGAAATCAATTGAGAGGTGTATGTGTACTACTTAGATTGGTATATATTTGTGTTGGCATAGAGCATAGCTCTCTCTTCTGGGAAGCATTGCAAAATTGTAAAAACCTGAACGACATAATAAATAACCATGGTGTTAATTATAAACCAAAGAATAAAATAAATATCCATGAGTCCATGATGATATAACTGAGTACATAAAGAAATAAATAAAAGAGGGAGGGAAGGGTTAATAATTCTTCCTTATATAAAACGTCCAATTAATAAATGTAAAAGATATTACACATATGAAAAAAATAATCATTATATTGTACTAGCTGTAGTTTAAATATTTGTGTCCCCTCCATAATGCCCATAAAATTGGAATCACAATGTGATGGCATTAAGAAAGTTAGGAAAGGATTTTTAGGCAGTAATGAAGTAATGAGAGTAAAGTTCTCAAGAACGGAATTAGTGACCTAATAAAAGCTATGGAGGGAATTTGCTAGATTACTTAAGCCCTTCTGTCCCTTTTAGCATTAGGAAACATAGAGAATGTCCATTCTGGAGGATGCCAAAACAAGATACCATTAAAGTCAAGTCCTGGTCCTGGAGCTATAGAGCAGATGTGCCCATGGCCAGGACAGGCCAAAGCTGAATGGACCCGTCTTTTCTTGCCTGTGGGAGTCTGAGCCAAGCCAAGGCCATCCCAATGAGTCAACCTTTCACCTGGTGTTGGCTGGGCCAGGCTGGTGCAGAGGCCAGCTCCACATGGTAATGCAGTCTCAAACCCCCAGAGTGTCCACGATCCACTCACCTGAACCCTTACTTCCCATAGGGGTTGAGCAGACAGACATGGAATTTTCACTGCTAACCAGTAACATTGGCACATTTCCGAAACTTAATTGTCATAAATTTGGACACCTATCATTGGTACTTCTCTAAACCCTCATTACCATAAATTTGAACCAATAACCAATTAACCCACATGCTACATGAACTCCTAGACTTGCATATTCAAGTGGCCAACTGCTATCAGTCCCCTCTCACCTTGCAAGAGCTCTGTTTCTATTTTTCCTTCTTGATTCAAATTCTACCTTTATACTCATTCTTATTCATCTGTGGAATTCATTCTTTGAAGTCATTAGACAAGAGCCCTGAAATGATAAATTAGTAGTAAGGTGCTGCAGGGCATAGACTGCCATTAAGGGCTGTAACACACCACTCAACGGTAGTAGAGAAGAATCGGGCTTTACCAGCTGTGTCCCTCACTCATCTTGATTAACCTCTAACACTGCAGCAGGCTTTCTTGGTTGCAGAGGCCTACAGCTTATGCAGACCCCAAGTCAGACCCAGCAACCAAAGTTCACGGATCCAGCAGTTGAAAGAAGATGTGAGGCACGGTGGGAATACAGTTCACCCTTTATTTGGAGGCAGCCACAGCCCTTAGCCAGCTAGTTCCAATTATCCCCAGTCTCATTTAGCCCCCATTTTTATGTACAGTCCAAAGAAATAAGGCACAATGACGACAGGTTACATCGTGGGTATGTGCTCATAAGACAATGTCATAACCTTGAGAATATAGTGAATCCGAGTGTTTTTAATACTTACTACACACTGACCATAACAGCCAGTTCATGGCCTTAGATAACAGCCTGTCAGAAGCTTCAGGGAGGAGCCTAACTGTAGACATTTTGAGGGTGCTGTGAGGCACAGGTGAGAAAGAATCATCTTAGATCAGCCAAAGACGTGAAGAGTCATCAACACATAGAAATCCGAGGTGTTGCTATCTATATTCCTAGGGTCTGTAGTATCCGTAAATAAACATCAAAATCAAAGAGGTTTTCCTCTGAGTCAAGGGAGCTGCAAGTAAAAGATGCCTGAGAAGGGAGCTCTTAAAGAAGACCCCTGTGAGAGAGCCCTGACCAACAGCCAAACTGAGTTGGACTCCAGTTTAAGAATGAGCTGCCATAGCAATTTACTACTTCTGCTCCTTTCATGCTCCTCAATTCTGTCACCCAACCCGGAGGATATGAGACCATAACCTGGGGACTAAGGGTGGGAAGTGATAATCCAGTGTGGGAATTAAAGAGGAAGCCAAATAAGCCCCTAGTCTCCTCTTTCAGCTTCCTCTCTGCAGCCGACTCCAGAAGATGGAATGAGAAAAATTTGATCTTTGTATCAACTGAAAATGATTTAAAAACACATGAGGCTTGCCTGAATTTTTAATAAATTAGCAAGGAAAACACTTTCTAATTAATGAGCTTAATAGCTCAACAGAGATGAAAATTTAAAAAAAATAACAAAACTTATCCCATGAAGTGGGCTTATTTATTTATTCCTGCAGGGCTAGAGATGGAACCTAGGGCCTTGCTAGGTAAGCACTTTGCCAATGAGTTTTATCCCCATCCTGAAGTATGTGGCATTTATATTTATACAAATATTATTTATGACATCTGAACAAAGGGGAAAATAGAACAGCTGTGGTTTAGAATAGCAAAGGAAATGCAAAAATTTAAATAAAATTGCATGGAAAATATAGGATTAAAAAATGTCCATTGGCAAATTTGATACCAATGAAAATTAAGTTTGATTGAAAATGCCCTCCACCCCTGCCACACACACACATACACCAGGACAAGAAGGATTAGAAGATAGGATTATAGGGGTAAAATATATTGTGTGTAATGGAACTTGATGGTGACCTTGTTCATTAAAAGAGTGTAATACTTTTGGAAACACTGGATCATAGAAAGGTGGTCTCTTAGAAAAAAATATTTTGGGTTCCTCCCTTTGTACCATTGTGTGATTTGTTAGAGGAGACATGGTACTAGGTGGAGAAAGTAGATGAGGTATTTCCAGCCAGGACAGGAGTTTTCCATGGATGAAATAAAAAAGGATTTTAAGGGAATAAGTGGGGAAACTAGGACTAGAGAAGAGATGCAAAAGGATTCACCTTTGAAGAGTGAGAAATTAAAAGCATGTCACAGACAGTGGAGATGAAATAACTAAATCTATTTTAGAAGACATATTCATGGACATTAGGATGAAAATAGAGACTGAATGCCAATAAAAGTTCATAAGCTGTCAATTTTTTTAAGATGATAAGATTATGAAAAAAATCCCAACCATTGCACATAGAAGTGGAAACATAGACTTGAGGTTCAGGATAAAGACCATACACCAGAAAAATAGGTACTCGTTATGACCAAACCAATAAAAATAGCTGTCACTAAGTAGGACCTTTTTTGCAGATATTAAAGAAGGAGAAGAAAAGGCCAAACTTTGGTAAATATCAGCACACAAATCACCAGAAAGAAAAGAGAAGACAGGGAGAAAGATTAAGAAAGGAAAGGCAGAGTAAACTTTGAGCACAAGCCAAATGTGAGAATGTCAGGAAGGTCAGATTCAACTGAAAGATCAGCAGAAGAAAGACAGAGTATGTCATTGGACTTGGCAATTCAAAGCCCCACATAATTTTAAAGGGAACATTTTAGGGACTTAATTTACTCAGCAAAAACTGTGAGAAGAGTGGAAGTCTTATTTTCCTTCAGAAATAACCCTTGTGTTTTCTTAGATCCAAGTTTGAATCTGATTTCAAAGGTGGAGTGTCTTATATACATTGTTTTCCTTCATAGGTAAATATGACTTGCCTGAACATACATTCATTGTGACCACAACCATTGACCTTATGGACATGCCTGTAGGTATGTGCCCTCAAAACATTTAGCTTATATAAAATAAATGCTGGGGAATTTCTTTGAGAATAAGAAAAGAAAATCACATTATCATTCTGTTTTGTTTTTTAAGAGGTCTGTGCATGCCTATAGTCCTAGCAGCTTGGGAAGTTAAGGCAGGAGGATCACAAGTTCAAAGCCAACCTGTAAAACATAGTGGGGCTTTGTCTCAAAATAAATTTGTAAAGGACTGAAGACGTGGCTAAGCAGTGGCTAAGCATCCTTGGGTGAATACCTGATACAAAAATAAATTAAATGAATAAATAAATATTTTTAAAAAGAGTTTTCTTTCAATAGTCTAGATTGAACTTACAATTTATATCTTTTCCTTATAAAATGAAAGTTATTAGTGAATAACAAACATAGTTTAATATAAGATAATCTACAAGAACTTTCTGTGAATTACTTCCTGCTAGTATCATGCTAGAGGAACAATTTTTATTCAAACAACAGATGTTTAATTTCCTATTTTATGTCTAGGGGCTCATCATGATTTTGAAGACACTGAATAATATATTATTTAAGCCATGATATATTCTAATGAGGCTGAAATAGGTGATGCCATTCTGTATTAATAATCTAATGCTTCCTACTCAATTCATTTCAATAAAAGTCATTTCCCATTATGGGCTGCTAACTGAAATTCCTTATTAGTTCCCATTGTTACTTCCATAGACATAATATTTGTGATATTTATCATATTAGATGCGATATGAATTTTTAAAATTTCACATAGTAAAACTGTGGTAATTGGAAAGTATCTTTACTCTTGGAATGAGTTATTATAAAATTTATTTTGGAGTAACTGCTTTGCCACTTTCTAACACAGTCCTCTTTAATATGTACATTTTAACAGGTTCTCTATCAGTAATTTTTAAAAAAAATTATAAAATCAAATAGATGTATGAGAATCATGTTATTATCTCCTGCTGTCAGTCCAATTGAAGAGATTCACATTTTTTTCAACCTATTTTAAGATAAAACAGATTTTCATAATTCTTTTTCTGATAAATGCAGTTTTGGTAATGGTTAGTATATATAAAATTTCTTTTGCAATAGTTTAGCTAAGATTATTATGAACAATTCAGCTTCTTGGATGACAAAATGAAAATAAAAAATGTTGCTTCAAATACTAGGACCAACGACAAAGTTTGAGAAACAAGAATTCAAAACTCATTTTAAGCCAACAAGTATCAGATGGTATTTCTAACTTTAAAGAAAAAAAAAAGAATATATACCTAGTTGTATTTTATTCTAGTTTCAATCTACAAAATTCTATTAAAACTATACAAGTAGACTGGGCATGGTGGCATATTCCTGCAATCCCAGGGCTCTGGAGACTAAAGCAGGGGTTTTGCAAGTTTGAGGCCAGCCTGCACAATTTAGTGAGACCCTAAGCAATTTAGCAAGACTCTAACTAATAAATAAAAAGCTCTGAAGATCTATGAGAATTTATTACAGTTCAATCTGTTACTGGTTCAATCTTTAGTAGCAAAAATCAATAACAACCAAAAAACACTCTACAACTAAACTCCAAACGTAAAATTACTACTTAAACATGATCATTTGTAGCATTAAAGCTTTTAAATTTAAATTTCAAATAAATTGAGTTCATTTAAACATATCAGGATGAAACTTTTTAAGTAATTTTAATGCGTTTATATAAATAATAAACATCATGAATTTTTAGAACACATTTGAGATACTGTCATCTGCTGAAGAGAATCTCACTGGTCTGAATCTAACAAGTGATCCATACTTTCTGAATGTTCCTATCTTATTCAGTAAATTGAAGATAAGAATATCCATCTGATATCCCCCATAGATCTGTTAAGAACCCAAATGACTTTAAATATACTTCACAAAATATCATATAGTTATAATTTTTTATTATCTTAGCCTCCCAGCTTTTTCAAAGTTATGCCACTGAATGGAGCCCTAACCCTGGACTATTTAAAAAGCAAAGTCTATTGTCTGAGCCTAGATTCAAAATGTAGTTGTGGATCTTGATTCTGCACTATTTTAACATGGGCCAAGAACCAGGTAAAATTTGATAGGTATTTTTTTTTAACGCATGTAGTGTTTATAAAATGTTTTAATTAATCAGCATGATGTAATAAATTGTCATTTACTAAATTGTCTCCTTTCCTACACAGATATGTACTTGTAATTTATCTGGAAAACACCGGGAAGGTCTAGTGAGGCCACACAGAAGATATTAACGGTAAGAAGACTTTCTCAGCTGTGATTCCTATCAAGCTCAGTTTGTTCTTTATTTTATGTGTGGGGCCAGTATAGACAGTTTAAGTTTGTAACATATCACTGAAATTTGTCTGTATTTACTTTCAACCAGGTTTATCCTTGAAAGTTTACTCCTGTTTCAGTTTGCGTGAGAATTTATAGTTTAAATGTCTCTGAGTAAATATATATATATTTAAACCCCACATATCCTGTGGCATTTAAATTTTACCTAAGTTCCACCCTCCTCACAAATTCTACAGTAAATATCTTTTCCTTCTTTAGTGAATGTCCCTGAGTTCTTCTGGAGTGCAGTTTTTCTTGCAGCAAATTAATAAACCTATATTTAATTCATTTCCAAAAGTACTTATTAAGAATCTATTCAACCAGACTATGATAAAATGCTGTAAGACTGTTGCGAGGCTATAATTAAGCCAAGTCATCTTACTATTAGATTATGTCAATATGTGGAGAGATAAAAATCCTGGGGTACAACAATGAAATAAACTGACATTTTAATCAGGGCATTAAAACTTATTCCAGTGCTACAGAATTACTCAGCCAAATATCTGCAGCTTATAGGTTTGCCACAAAGTTCCATTTGGGATTTTCATAAATGCACTGTGCTGCATTGCCAACAGACAAAATAATTATCACCATCATCATAATGAATCCCTTTGATGTTGAAGACTTTCTCATGTTTCTTATATTCTATCACAAATCACAAGTGAATAAATGAACTCAGGAGTTAAAAGTAAAATTGGTATATCTCCTTAGAGCCACTGGAAATGTGCAAAGCATTTTAAAGATCAAGTGATACAGATACTTAGTACAGATAGCACCCAAAAGAAAGATGTATCACATCCAATACAAAAATGTATGCCTGCATAAAAACACTGACCTTCAAGAACTGAGCTCAGCTTCTGATACCAGTTTTGCAACTTATCAAATCACTTTCTAAATCGTAGCTTTCCTCCCTTTCTTAAGTTTGGAGTTGTAGAATCATCTCTAGTCCTTCTTCCTCCTTTTACAGGCTTTGATTGTTTCTTTTAAGAACTGTTTAGCAACACAGATTTACAAATTACCATGCTGTAGAATTTTTCTTTTGCATAAATTGTACACCCAAATTAGATTTTCAACTTCTTGAAGACAAAATTGGATATAGAGATGTACAAATGTATAGATATCTACATGCTTTTTGTCTCTGTCTCTCTCTCTCTCTCTCTCTCTCTATATATATATATATATATGTATATAAGTTTATATATATATATATATATATATATATATATATATATATATATATATATATCAAACAACATGTCCAGAAATCATTGGCAATTATTAAGTGCTTAAACACAAGTATTCTTTTATATATACATTCTCATTTCATTGTATTATGTGCACAATTTGTTTTTCTAATAAAGAAAATGTTTAGGATTTTCCAAAAAAACAGATTCTCAGTATTTGTTCAGATATTTTTACATATTAAAATGTTAAATAATTATTACTTGGAAAAGAGCTCACATTTGTGATATATGTGTGTGTGTGTGTTTGTATGTGTGTACATGTATATATATATATATGTGTGTGTGTGTGTGTGTGTGTGTGTGTATGTGTATGTGTGTATATATATATGCTGGGGATTAGAACCCAGGGCCTCACAAACACTAGACAAGTGTTTTATCACTGACTACATCCTCAGCCCCCTGAAACTATTTTATTTACATGAAACAGTCGTGTATTGACAAAGGGTGATTTGCCAACCCATTGTGCACTATAGATTTCACTGTGTGAATACTAATAATAAGGGACAATTTTAAATTTCACATATAAGCATTAGTTCACTAAAGTAGTTTTGAAAAATTATTCTTTTCCATGATTCATATAAATGCAGAACCCATTTAGTCAATTTTTCAGCCCAATTTTATCTCTGTATGATTCTCATTTTGAAAGATATTCCAATATCCTAACAGATTATATCAGTTGATATAATAAGCTCTTTCTAAACTTCTGCCATCTGATTAAATTTCATTTGAAAATCTTCTTCTCATATCTCACACTTAGACATACTTTTAACTTATAAAAACTACATTAATTTTGGATAGTTACGAGAAAGTAAGGATAAAATACAGCTTGAATGTTTTAATACTTCAAAAAAAATTTCGAACTCCTAACTTTGGTATCTACTCATTTTCTTTTTAACATTTTTTTTCTTCCTCCATTAGGACCTTCTAGTCTTAAAGATTAACAGCATTCTTAAAATACTCTGGATTGTTCCTAATGAACTTATTAAAATACCTCTGCATGCAAGAAGTATTAAGCAATTATTACTCAGTCATTTTACTTTGGGCTTGTTATTCAGAAGAATGTTAAAGCTCTTTAAGACAACATTTAGTTGAGTAATCGTTAAGCCTTCTGTAAATTTGAGCAATGAACTGTGTAACAACCCTGTAGGAAATGAGAACAAATACACAATTCCTGATAAAACCAATTTCTACCCATCCTTTAATTGTTGATTGGACTTTCCAGGACAGGTAGTTATGTGTTATTACTTTAATTTTTCCTTTCTTAATCTCTCTTATGTAATGAACAACAGTGAGAGAGCATAATATCCAAGCCAATGGAAGAAATGCAAAGGTAGGGGGCAGGTGACATGCTGTACTGAGCCATTTCAAGAGTCCTAATAGGCACAGATGTAGTGGTCCCTCCAGAAAAGCTAACTAATGACAACTTGGAGAAAAATGCCCTGAGTGGATGTTTTTTTCTTAAGCAATAAGTACATTAAAAAGCACAAAATCCTTGAAGCATTACTTTAATTGGTTAGTATCAGAAAGATTCACTTCAGGCAGGAAAAGTAATTATTCTTTTAGTCAGCACACAATAAGTAGAAAAAAAAAAAGTACTTCATTAATGTCCATGGTTTCAAAGGATGCTATTCTACCTTGAAGCATGGACCCAAGAGCAAAAATACAAAGGAGATTGCAGGCTTTCACATCCCACAGAAGCTTTTGGTCACAATTTTATTGGAACAGACTGCAGTTGTTGACATCTTTGATAAAATCCATTTGATAAAACCCACCAGAAACTTACATGTAAGCTCTTGTAATAGTAAGCTAATATGTATCAAATATATTCTTAATGCCAAAGAGCTCATTATATCCTGACCACGACCTATAGAGGTTACCGCTCCTATTTTGTAGTTGAAAATGTCATCCCAGAAATAGCACATAATATTGACTAAGCAACCTAACATTTATTTCTGGGTGAATTAACTGAAATTTGCTTTTGAAGATGGGCACAGCTGAGTCAGCCCAGCAAGGCAAACAGGATTGCTTGTCTTGCATATTGGTGCTGAGGGAATTCACCACCTCCTCTCCAGGTATATGTTACAAGTAACTAGCCTTACATGAGGCAAATGGTTAAAATATCCATAGTGAAATCTAATGACTCAAACAAATATTCCATCTTAACATCAAATTAGCTTCCCATGAAGTAAAAAATACGATGAATAAATGTTAAAGATGACCTTCTCAGAATCTGGAGAGTAAAAACTTGAATCTGTGGTAGTTAAAATCAATCCTGTTGGAAATACAGTATTTAACAGGGTATTCTTGGCACTTTTTATTTTATATGGCATTGGAATAATCATCAAAAGACAAATGGGGTAATTTAATATTTCTCAGAAGTGTCGTGATAATTCACTAATTACAGGTTTTTACACTCCATTGAGAATTGCACTATCAGATTTATTTCACAAAGTCCACTATGGGTAACTTATTTAACAACTGTAATCAGTCTGGATGGAACTGGATTAATTTTCACTCTCAGAAGCAAAAGGAGGAAAATAAAAAATCAGTAGCAAAAAATAAAATAAAGCTTCAAGTCAAACACTTTAAAAAGATGTGGAATTAAACAGTCCAAAATTATGTAGTCATGTGCGACTGTTTAGCATGATGCTGAGGTTTGTGAAAAATCTCTCCCTAGGGAAAGCATGTTAAGTATCTCAGGTTCAAATACAAGGAGTAATAAGCAAGAATTAAAGCATCTTCATCAAACTCAACTGCAAAATGAAGTCTTCATGTTTTATTTATCTCCATGTCCCTATCCTTTCTCTGTCCTCCATAAAAATTATTTAACAACAACTACTGGAGGAAGTGTTTTCTTCTTTGATATTTTTAATGCCAGCACTGCTTCTTCCTTTACACAAGTTCAAAGCATCTCAAATTGTCACTATCTTATGACAATATTTAAGTTGGCTTTTGATAGATCATTTTTTTACATTAAGCAGCACTATATAAGCTGTCACAGAGTTGGAATGTAACATCAGGAAAATTGAGAAGGAAATATCTCTAACATTTATTAAATGCCAACCACCACCAACTACGCTAAGTATTAGAGAAGAACAAATAAGCCAGACACTATTGTGGCACTCAAGGCTAATCACAGAGCTCAGGAAAGATTTCTGTCCTGCTGGTAAGGGTGCACTGGATCTTAGTTGTGTACTGAATCATCACAGAAGTGACTGGAATCGGCTTCACCTGATGTGTCATGAAAGACCTCAGAGGTGGTGACCAGAAAGTTTTGATTATGACCATGAATTGGAAATTTTCAAAAAATAATGGAGGCTCTAGTGATGTGAAAAGACAGTGAATGTTTTAATAATGATGATGAAGTTGTCACTGCTAAACCTTAAACTCGAGATAGCAGTGAGGCTATATTTGAGGTGCTTTGTTTCTCCACATTCATCTGATGTGTGTCTGCTCTGCTTTCCTCTCTCTAGCAAGACCACTCACCTCCTTCGACACCATGTTCTTCCACATATCTACACCTTTTTCCACTCGGCTTGCCCTGACCAGAAGGCAATCTACTTCAGGTTTACGTGGTAAACCACAACCACCACTACTTTTTCAAGGCTAAAGAAGCAATGCTGACACATTTCCCTTTCCTGGTACCTCCATGTTAAGAGTAAAAAATTATTCATTT